CGCGCGTCCCTCTTGGCTGCGCGCCGGCGCCGCCTGGCGGGAGGAAGGGGAGGTGGCGGGCGCGTTTGCAGGAGGGGCGCACCTCTTCTCTCGCGTACCCCCTGGAAGGTAGACGGAGAAGGGGAGGCGGGCGGACTGGGTGGAGAGAGGAGCGCGCGATCTAGCCGGCCTGGGGGAGGCAATGTGGGGGCTGGTACACCCTGCCGTCTAGACAGTCCTAGCCGGGCAGGGGGCGTGTGCGCTCGGCACACCTGCGAGACCACAGAGCTCGGGGCCGGCACGTGTAGAGTGTAGACACGTCCGCTGCACCCGGCTTCTCGCTGCCTCTGGGGAGGGGGGGCGGGCAGGTGCGGCGGGCTGGCTAGTGGGGAGGGGGCGGCGGCCATGGAGCGGGTGAACGACGCTTCCTGCGGCCCGTCCGGCTGCTACACCTACCAGGTGAGCAGGCACAGCACCGAAATGCTGCACAACCTGAACCAGCAGCGCAAAAACGGCGGGCGCTTCTGCGACGTGCTCCTGCGGGTGGGAGACGAGAGCTTCCCCGCGCACCGCGCCGTGCTGGCCGCCTGCAGCGAGTACTTTGAATCGGTGTTCAGTGCCCAGTTGGGCGACGGCGGAGCGGCGGACGGGGGTCCCGCCGACGTGGGAGGCGCGGCGGCGGCCCCAGGCGGCGGGGCCGCGGGCAGCCGGGAGCTGGAGATGCATACGATCAGCTCCAAAGTGTTCGGGGACATCCTGGACTTCGCCTACACTTCCCGCATCGTGGTGCGCCTGGAGAGCTTCCCCGAGCTCATGACGGCCGCCAAGTTCCTGCTGATGAGGTCGGTCATCGAGATCTGCCAGGAAGTCATCAAACAGTCCAACGTGCAGATCCTGGTGCCCCCTGCGCGCGCTGACATCATGCTCTTCCGCCCGCCTGGAACCTCGGACTTGGGCTTCCCTTTGGACATGACCAATGGAGCGGCTTTGGCCGCCAACAGCAATGGCATCGCGGGCAGCATGCAGCCCGAGGAGGAGGTGGCCCGGGCGGCAGGTGCAGCCATTGCAAACCAAGCCTCTCTGCCTGTGTTACCAGGAGTGGACCGCTTGCCCATGGTGGCTGGACCTTTGTCCCCCCAACTTCTGACTTCCCCATTCCCCAATGTGGCATCCAATACCCCTCCCCTGACTGGCAAGCGAGGCAGGGGCCGTCCCAGGAAGGCCAACCTGCTGGACTCCATGTTCGGGTCCCCAGGGGGCCTAAGAGAGGCGGGCATCCTTCCGTGTGGCCTGTGTGGGAAAGTGTTCACCGATGCCACCCGGCTCCGGCAGCACGAGGCCCAGCACGGTGTCACCAGCCTCCAGCTGGGCTACATTGACCTGCCTCCTCCGAGGCTGGGCGAGAACGGGCTGCCCATCTCCGAGGACCCCGACGGCCCCCGCAAGAGGAGCCGGACCAGGAAGCAGGTAGCCTGCGAGATCTGTGGCAAGATCTTCCGCGACGTTTACCATCTCAACCGACACAAGCTGTCCCACTCTGGGGAGAAGCCCTACTCCTGTCCCGTGTGCGGACTGCGCTTCAAGAGGAAAGACCGCATGTCCTACCACGTGCGGTCCCATGATGGGTCCGTGGGCAAGCCTTACATCTGCCAGAGCTGTGGGAAAGGCTTTTCCAGGTGAGGAAAGGGGCCACCACTCGGGTCTGATTTCTCTGGTAGCCCCTTGCCAAGATCTTGGGTCATGGGAGGGGCTTTAGGAGTTCACTTGACCTTACAGGTTTGGGGAAGAGTGTTTTGAGGGCCCTGCTTTTGAGGTGATGCTGCCAAGAGCTGCTTTCTCTTCCCCCCAAGGAAGTTCTCTGGCACTAGGCGGGCCCCACTGTCTCTCTTCCTTGGGGCCTGAGAAGGGGCTGGCTTCATTCCTCAGGCCCCAGCCACCAGGCCTTGCCATTCTTCTCCGGCTCCCTTTGTGTTTCCGGCACCAGGCGTGGGGCCCTCTCTGGGGGCGGGAGGCTGGGCTCTTGCAGCGACTCTCCCCGCATGAATGGCTGCCGAGGGAGGGGGGATGGCTGGGACAAGTGCATCTTCATGCTGCCTCTACGGAGCCCCCCCAGTGCGGAGACTTCAGCCTCCCCCAGGCTCTCCAGAGAGCCAGGATCTTTATCTGCTGGGCCCTGACGCCTCCAGAGTCCCACTGCACCCATAGGTCCCCATTACGTCTTCAGGCCAGGGGTCAAAGCGGCAGAGTGCCCTTTTCCATTCACTTTCTCCTGAGCTTAGTAGGAGACGGAGGACCAGACTGCTAGCAGAGGGTTGTTTGGGGTTTTTCTCTCGGAGGGGAAACGTTCTGAGGAAAAGTCTGGTTTTAACTTGTCTGGGTGCTGAGGGTGTGTGTGTGTGTGTGTGTGTGTGTGTGTGTGTGTGTGTGAACCTGGGGAACTCCCCCAGAGGGGCCCCAGCCAGGAACCCGTCCTACCGGTCAGGCAACCCCTGCCCACCTTCAGGCATCTGGTTTACCGGCCCAGCTGGGGACTTAAGCTCTATCTTGTGGCCTCTGGGGACTGAATTCCATCTGGGTGTCATTCATTGGCTGCTGCAGTGGGAGAGGCTGGGGGAGGGGGTGGGGGGCTGGAGACGGGACAATGAATCCCATACCCCTCCCCTCCCAAGAAGCCTTGTGGTTTAGGAAGAAGGGGGGTGGGCAGGCAAGGTCAGAGGAATGCTCCTCACCCCACCCCCACCCCCTGGACAGAGAGGCCTAGCAGGGCCTGTGGGAGCTAGGCCTGGGGGTGGGGGTGGGGGTGGGGAGTGGGAGAGTCCTGTGTCCTGTGTTGGGGGTTGGGAAGCCTCTGGCCAAGTCTGGGTTTTTTTTTTTTAAATAGAATATCAAGTCTCTTGCTTCTCTCTTCCAGGCCTGATCACTTGAACGGACATATCAAGCAGGTGCACACCTCTGAGCGGCCTCACAAGTGTCAGGTAGGGACCGGGCCAGGCACCGATGGGCTGTTCCCACAGCCTCAACCACAGCAACTTGCGTGAGCGCGTGCTGCGGGGGTGGGGGACCTTGTGTGTGTGCTGAGGGCTGGCTGGTGGACCACCGCTTTGCACACCTCCCGCTCCGTCCCTCCATCCGCTCGCGTCCTTTGTTCTCCCCCCCTTTGCCTTCCTAGTTGCTTGGTGCCTGTTCCTAACCCTGTCTTTGCTCTGTTGCTTGTCACCCCTCTCCTGACGTCTGCCCACCTGCCTGCTCTGATGGCGGGCTCACACGGTACACTCCATGTCTTGGGGTTTGGTTCGTCTCTGATTCCCCTAGCACTTTGCAGGGACCTCCAGTGAGAGGGAAAGCTTTGTAGAGGGCTCCTGAAGGTTCGGCCAGCAAGGCCAGCAATTCCGTCTCGTCGTTGTCTTACCTAATGCGACCATCTCATAGGTCTACAGGGCACAAAGGGTGCCAGGGGACGGGTAGGCCCAGGCGGGCACCGGCACCCACTGTGTGCACAGCCAGGGGTTTTGGAGAACCAGAGAGCAGGGGTCTCCTTGTCACCTCTGTGTAATTAAAAAAAGCTGGGCCGTCTGCTTGGATAATATCTGGAGGCCCTTCGGGTGCCCAAAAACCTGAATTTTCTCTCCTTCCCCATGAGCCTTCCTTGTACTGATGAGTAACACGCCTCTTATCTCTCAGTTTTCTCCCTGCTCCTATCCCAGGTTCCCACCACCTGAGTGGTGGGCAAAAGTGAGGAGGGTGGATGGTGAGTGTGGGACCCCTCCTGGTAGACAACTTGCTTATCTTTTTCCCCTTAATGGCCAGAGGGCAGGGACTCAGGGCTGTGGAAATCAGGGCAGAGTTCTCAGGGACCAAATGAGGATGCTTTCTCAGAGGCAGGCAGGTGGCCTGCCTGGAGGCGGAAGCAGATGAGACGACTGGAGGCTGCCCCCCGGGTGGGGCTGCTGGGAGCTGTGTGTATTCCTTGCTTGCTTTCTTTCTCTCTAGTTGTCCCTTGAGCGCATTCTGATCCTCCCAGGTAGTGTATGGAGCAGCCTAGGCAGAGTAGGAGGAGCCCAAAGGGCACTGGGGGTGTGCCCAGTGGCCTGGGGGGGTAACCTGCACTCTCTGCCCTTTTTCTAGGTGTGGGTTGGGAGCAGCAGCGGCCTGCCACCCCTGGAACCTCTTCCTAGCGACCTGCCATCATGGGACTTTGCCCAGCCTGCTTTGTGGAGGTCGTCCCATTCGGTTCCTGACACCGCCTTTTCCCTTTCTCTAAAAAAGTCATTCCCGGCCCTTGAGAACCTGGGCCCCACACACTCCAGCAACCCCCTCTTCTGCTCAGCGCCACCAGGGTATCTGAGGCAGGGCTGGGCCACCCCAGAGGGCGGCCGGCCCTTTACCCAGTGGCCTGTCGGCTAGCATAAGCCTTTCTGGAGAAGGTTCCCTGTGGAAAGGGGTGTGAATGGTGGTTGGCCAGAAGCCCCTGTGTTGGGAGAGGCTAGCAGGTGGTCCCTGCCCACCATGCCCCACTCCCTTCCCTCCCCTCGTGTCTCGGGTCTTTCCCAGCTCAGGGCTGCCAGATGAGGGTGCAAGAAGCTCCCTCGTGGGCCCTCCCACAACCTCCAAGTTCCCTTCTGGGCGCTCCTGGCCTTTTGTTGTCCCTCTTTAACAGATGGCACCCCTAGGCCTCTATCTGCCTGGGTTATTTTAGATGTTGGTGCTTTTATGGGAATTAAGGCCTCAGCTTAGCTGCTCCCTGACCCCGGCATCATCGTCCATAAAGGCACGGGTTCCTAGAATGGTGCCTGTTCCCCTCCCCAGCTCCGGAGCGAGTCAGCTTCCAGAGAACTCTCTGGAGCAAGTCCAGCAGGGTCACTGGTTTTGCCCTCGTCCATACTCACCCACTCAGATGGGTCCTGCTTTTAGTTTCTAGCTAGTAAATTAGACTTTTGTGAATTTTTGAGGTTGATTTTATTAGCAGGTCTGCTCAGGAACTAGACTAACTGATAGCTTTACTTGGGGCTGATAAAGCCTCTGTAGACCCTTGGATCCCACTGGTGTGGAGTGATGATAAAACGTTTTCATTCTAACATTTGAGGCTTTGTGTGTTTTGTCCTTGGTCTGTTGTAACACTGACATCGCTGTCTTTTGGGGTGCAAGCTCACTCCTGTTCCCCCCTCTCCAGCGCTCACGTTCATAGACCTTCGGGCCCCACCTTAGCTCCCACCTTGTAGTCGGCACTCCTCCCTCCCACCCCACCTCAAATGGGCTGGCCAGCCACTTGGTCCGGGTTTGTTTAAAGAGAAGTGTTGGTTTTGCATGGTGTGTATTCTGGAAGCATCAGAGGTTGGGGACCCTCTGGGAGATGGTACATAGGGACCCCTGGCCAAGCTGGGGACAGGTGGACCTCTTTGTCCCTCCAGTGTCATATCGCCATTGTAAGAGGAAGCAGTTCCATAGATGGGTGCCACCGATTGACCTCCTGCTAAACACTGGGGCCTGGTCATACAGGCTGAGCAGTATTATGTGGCCTCTCTTCTGGCTTCCAGGCTCCTTTCTTTGCTGAACCATCGAGGTGTCCCAACATGACCGGCATTAGAGGTTCAGTGGGCTGAGGTGGTAACCCCCGTCAGAGAGGCCAGAGCAGCTCAGCCCTCAGTCATCACTTCCAGGCCTCTGTGCCGCCACCCCGCCCCCTCCCTGGGGCTGGTTGTGGCAGTTCTGGCTGGAAGGACAGCTTGTTCCAAAAGGAATGAGTGGAGGTGGAGCAAAACAGGAATTGGTGTAGCCTTAAGGTGAAAGGGGACCACATGGCCCCTGTGGCTTTCCTGGGGTTGTGGAAAGGGCTGTGGAAGCCCCCTCCTCAGGCTGCCAGACTTTCACCACCCCAAGAGTAGCGTGTATCTAAATCTCTCCATAACAGCTGGGCCCCCAGGCCCAAGCTGCTCAAACCTTTATAGCAAGTCTGGGATAAGACAGGTGGCAGGGAGTGGGGTGCATGGTATTGAACTATGACCACACGCCACCTGGACAGGAGGCAGAGCAGCCCCTCAGGTACCACCAGCTCACTGTCACCTGTAAGTGTCACAGGACAGGGACACATTTCTGATGAGTGCCGTCAGCCTAGAAACTCTGGATGTCCCCTCTAACTTGCGCCTCTCTTCTCTCTTACCCTGTCTCTCCTGGGTCAAGTGACTCAGTTCTTTGGTGTCCTGACCTCCCAGGAACTACTGGGGTCAGTCCTGGCCCAGAGGAACCAACAATACTTTCAGTTTGGCGTTCGAACACAGATTTCGGTGCTGGTTTTATTTTTTTTTTTCTCTCCCCCCAGCAGCAGATTTACATTCCTAATTCTGTTTGCTCAGGCAAACGTTGGCTTTGGTTCCCTTCGAGATAATCAAGGGAGGCAGAGGAGAGGGAGCCAGCCCTGTCTGGGATTTTAATTCTGTTTAGCTAATCCCCCCAGTGGGTAATCCACTTGTGGATAATAAAAGTTGGGCTGCACGTCATCTTTAGATAACTTAGCCTGGCGGGTAGAGCTCTCCTGAAGACACATTCTCCAAAGAAGGTTGGGAAGGTGACGAGGCATCTCTCCTACACCTCTCGGGGTCCCTCTTCCCAGGATTGCAGAACAGCAATCTGGCGTGTGCATCTTTATCTGTGTTCCTACACTGGACCCGTGTCGGATCCCTCTGACCTGTGGAAGGATGTCTTTGATCACTGGCTGGTAAACACAGCCTGATCTGTGAACGGATAAATCAACACATGCTCTCGGAGGGTGTTTATGGCAGCCCTGGCTCTAGTTCATAGGCTGAAGGACTCGGTGGGACAGTCTTCTGTCCCCTTACTGTGTCCTGAGGTTAGTCATGAGGCCCCTGAGGTGGGGAACCCACCTGTGTCCATGAGACCATCTGCTACAGTTCCCCACCACGGCCTCTCCAATCATGAGTCACCTCAACTCTGCCATCAAGTTGGAAGCGACTCCTAAAGCTCCAGCGGGTTTTTAGAAGCTTTAAATCACATGGGAGAAGATGGCCCATCTTTCTCCCTCAGAGCAGCTGGTAGATTCAAACCATCTGCCTTCGGGTTGGCAGCGCAACTCCTTACTCACTAGGCCACCAGAGTTCCCTGAGTCCATGGTGCTGAGAGGTAACAGCATTGTTCACTCACAAGCAGTCACCTCCCTTGGTTTGTGCACATCTCTTAAGTTGAGGACTGGCGTCCTGGTGGGGTAGGGCTGCTGACTGAAAGATCAGAGGCTTGAATACACCAGCCGCTCCATGGGGGAAAGCTGGGCAGTGTCCTCTGGGAAAGATTTTACAGACTGGGAAACACAGCAGTGGATTTCATGGTTTTGGCTTTTAAACCTAAGGCCAGCCAGGAGAGTCGGCAAGGCGAATGCTGAGTCTGTGTGCTTTGGACAAGTGACTTCCTAAACTTTGCTTTCTCATTTGTTAAACCAAGCAGCTCAGTTGTATAAAACAGGCAGAGCCAGCATTTCATCCTTATAAATCACCCTGCTCGTGTTTGTAACATTGACCCACACAGACTTAGGAAACACAGATACGCTTGTGACAGTGGTGTCTCCTGTGTCCACAGCCATGCTGTGTGAGGTTCTCACTGTCACTGCGTTGTCAGATTAAACATTTGGGGGTGGTGACCGCTTTCAGACTTTTGACGGGAAATATCAGGCTCTGCTTCCAGACTGAGCCAGAGCAGCTCTGTGTTTTGCAGTTTAATCTGTGGAGCATTGATGGGTTAACATTTGGTCTGTTGTTCATTTAAGCTCGAGTGGCCTCATGGTTAAGGAGTTGTCCCACCAACCCAAACGCTAGGGGTTCGAAACACCAGCTGCTCTGTGGGAGAAATGGGCATTTTCTTTCTGAAAACCTACTGGGGAATCAAATCAGCAGTGAGTCGGTTCTAACTTGAACTTCCGCACAACTGGGAAGCTGCTAGATTCCATTCTGAGGGGCTCCCAGACTTTCTGTGACACTCCCCTGGCCAAGGCTGGGCTGCCTTTGTGCGCCTGGCCTGAGAGGGTGGCATTTGGATAGGGAAGTGAGTGATGCTGAATCTGGTCCTCAGGTGTGGGGTGGGCCTGGCGACCTGGTGGCTGCCTTCCCAGGGTGCTACGGTCAGATTTTGAGCCATGTGGCTCTGGCCATGCTCTTTTTTTTTTAATTTTTATTATTATTTTTTATGTGTGTACTGTCAAATCAGATCTGACTGGTACAGGAGGTGATTATTCCTCCTTCTTCAGCAGAGCATCTGATGGATTTGAACTGCACACCTCTGGGATTGCAGTGCAGCTTCTTGCCACTAGGCCACCAGAGCTCGCCTCTGGCCATGCTCTTGACGACGGGCTGCCTTTGTGAGCCAGCTGCCTCTGAAACGGGCTAAGCATGGTTGGTGACCGCCTGACCCAGATGGGTGCTCAGAGGGTGCGGGGTAGGAGTGGCATCCTTGCTGCTACCAGCACTTCCCAGCTCAGCATTTCACAGATGAACCCGAAGCCTCTGGCCCTCGCTCTCTGCTGATTCTCAGAATCGACACTCACTCCACAGCCTGTGCTTTTTCAGCACAAACGCTCGAGCCTTGCAGTTCCGGGTGCTTCATCCTGTATTTGCTCTCTGTCTCCCTGTTGGCCAAGACAAATGCCACTTTTGAATAAAGTGAATAAACCAGAATAGAGAGAAGACCTAGGGATAGTGGGTAGGAAGACTGGTCTGTTTCTATGCTCTTAAAGTCTCTTTTTAGTGTGAGAATGGAAATATTCCTCACTCTTTCTTTCAGTTCATACTAGAGTGTTTGAACTCGACCTGCCGTGTTCTTACATGTTTGTCTTAACTGGAATTGATTTCAATTCGAGTGTCCCATGAGGAGGGCCTGTGCCGTGTAAGAGCATCCCCTTGGCATTCTGGGTAGAGAACCTGGACTCCACAAATCTCTACCCAGGGAACCTGCAGGCTGGTTTTTGCTTCGTGGGGTGCTGGGTAGAATGGACAGGTTTGCTTCATTTTAGTTTTCTTTTCCCCCCTCAGACCTGCAATGCTTCCTTCGCCACCCGAGACCGTCTCCGCTCCCACCTGGCCTGTCACGAAGACAAGGTGCCTTGCCAGGTGTGTGGGAAGTACTTGCGGGCAGCGTACATGGCGGATCACCTGAAGAAGCACAGCGAGGGGCCCAGCAACTTCTGTAGCATCTGTAACCGAGGTAATCTCCCCACTGCACCCCTCACTTCCAGTGGTGGGGCCTGAGCTTGCATGAGAGGCCCCAGGGGCTGTATTGTCCACCCTGCCTCTGCGCGCCCCCTGGAGGACAAACACTTTGCAGCCACCAGCCTCCCCTGCCAGCTCTTTGCCGACTTGGGATGGGCGGTCCCAAGAGACCAGGTGCAGGGAATGCTGTTCCCAAGCTTGAGCCCACAGCGCACCTGCTGCTCGGGCAGTGGGCTGATTATAGTTTTTGCAGAAGGCCCTTGAACTCCTGAGTTTGATGGGAGAGTCCCTAGGCCCAGGAGGTGGGATAGAGGGGTCTCAGTAAAAGGCTTCCCTGGCACATGAAATTCAGTCACTGGGGGAGATGATGGTGTGGGGAGATGGACAAGGGCTGGAGACTTCTGAGCACCGAGAACGCAGAAAAGAGCTATTTAAGTAGATTGTGGCTTTGATGAGAGAAAGAGCGCTAGGGGCTTCAGGTCTGCTGGCGTGCTGTGAACAACGGTGGCGTGGCTTGCCTGGCATCTCACTTTCAGGCGCCGGTGTTCCGTCAGACGTGGTCCAGTCAGCCTGTCCCCGAGGTTCTGCCAGGCCTTGTTTTCTGTTAGAATGGCTGTGTTTTCTGGTGGCCGTGGAAGAGGCTTGCGCTGTCTCTGTAGTGAAGGAGCTTGGGGGAGTTGCGTGTGGTGCGCGCTAGGAGGTTTCTGCATGCTGTTTGCTTTGGGGAGATCAGGGACATTCCTGGGAAGCCTTCTCATCTCCTGGGATATTCTTGTCCCAAGGTTTCCAACCATCTGGGGTGTGGCTCTGTGGAATTTTGAGTATTGAAGCAGGAGGCAGGGGACCTAAGGTTTGGGTCCAGTCCTTTCTGTTCTGCGTTTCTCTGTGGTCTCCCTTCCTCCGTTAAGCTCCAGTTTGTTCTCCCAAATGGTGTTGCAAGCACCCCTTGTCTGTCTTGTTGCCCACCTCACAAGATGTTGGGGTCCTGGAAGACACGGTTTGTGAAAGTTGCCTGAATTTCAGGATGCTGCATCTTTATGCTTTCAGGAGGGACAGGATGATGATCAGGAGGGACATGGCTTGCTGATCCTCAGGTTTGCACCGATATACGGCTGGAATCGCTGGGGCTTGTGCTGGCCTACCTGTGCCCTGGGGTCCTCAGTAGAGGGAGATTGCTGAGTGAGTAGCAGGTGAAACCAGATTGTTCCCTTGGAGGCAAGAATTTTGAAGCTCCGTCTCACATACTTTGGGCATGTTGTAAGGAGGAACCAGTCCTTGGAGAAGGACAGCATGCTTGGGAGGGTGGAGGGACAGAGCAGGAGAGGAAGGCCCTGTATGAGGTGGATTGACAGAGTGACTGTGGCAGTGGGGTCAGATATGTCAGAGACAGTGAGGTTGGCTCCGGGTCGGGCAAGGTTCAAAGCCATTGTTCATAGGGTTAATATAAACTGAAGTCTACCCCACAGCACATAATAACAATGGGGTGTTCTTGGTTCCTTGGGGCAGGGTTCCTTTCCGGGACTTGCACAGTTGGGATTGGTCTTAAAGGCTACTAGATATTGACCCTCTTGTCTTTCTACCACCAGCGAAAACCCCTTGTGGGGAACGGGTAATAAAGGCAGCTCAAACCCTCATCCTACTTTTGAATGTGTCGGCAGAACTCATTTCTATCAGGAACGTCCCCCAGATAGCGAGCGGTAGGTTGGTGCGTGCAAAGAGAGCAGGTTATGAGGTTGCCTGTCTGGAGCGTGGCCACCCCAGCCCTAGAAACAGATGATTTCCTGTCTTGCCTCATCTAAATCTGGCTTCCTGATAGTGTTCCCCAACAACTCTTAAGGCTGTTGCCATGTGCCCTTGGTAACTGGTCTGTTAAGGGTCCACTGTTGACGTTCCGAGCGCAAGAGCTGGGGTCCAAGAACCAAGGCTGGAAATGCAAGAGAATGGAGGTTGTTGCTGATAAAACTCAGAAAGACCACTCCTGACTGCAGAGAGCAGGGTGGAGAGCTAAAGTCCCACAGCACTGGTGGGCCCAGCTCAGCAGGAAAGGAGGCCAGAGAGCAGCAGTGGGAAGGTGACCCCAACTAGGAGACACCTAATGTCGCACAGCTTAACAGTTGCCTGTGCCTCAGGATATTTTTCCTTAGGCTGATAAAAAGGCTTTAGGATGGGAGATCTGATGGCCTAGTGGCAAGAAGCTGCACTGCAATCCCAGAGGCACGCGGTTCAAATCTGCCAGATGCTCTGCTGGAGAAGGAAGGACAGTCTCCTCCTGTACCAGTCAGGTCTGATTTGACAATACACACACAATTTTTTTTTTTAAAAAAAGGCTTTGAGAAAACAGTCCATGGGTTTCATGGCTGGGGTAGGGGCCCCAGAAGAATAATTCAGAACTCACTAGTTTTCAGGAAAGCCAGGACTAGGTCAGGAGAACAACACCTTTGCATCCTGCAATCCGGGCAAGAAGCCCTGTTGTGCCAAGAAGTTAAGACAGGGCTGTGGTTCAGCCTACGCCGGGTTCTCATGAGGAAGAAAAACCAGCCGTGGTCTTCATCAGAAGAGAAGGAACGAGAGCCTCTGCCTCTGGACTCATTCCTTGGGCTTAACTAAAAACCCCACTGCCATCAAGTTGGTCCCAGCTCACAGCATCCCTCTATCAAGTCTCCAAGGCTATATACATCTTCACAGGAGGAAACTACCTGTCCTTCTGTGGATTCGAATTGCCGACCTTTTGGTTAGCAGCCCATCGCGTTATGCACTCCACCACCAGGACTCCTTTAAGGCATAAATATGAAGGGATCTCAAATAAGAGGAAGACCAAGGACTTTCGGACATCAAAGACACCGGGATATTGGGTGAGAATACAGGACACTGAATGTCATCCTTGGCCTTCATCACAAAGACTTAGATGACAGTGGGAGCTCCTTGAATAAAAGAATGAACGTTCTTGTCTTTTACAAGGTCCATGCAAAGAAAGGCTCAGTGTCAGAATGGTTGAGGTTGGATCAAGCCAACTTCAGCATACCCTCTGAGATTCCTACACTTCAGACAATCTGCTTAGTCTCGTCTTTATTCTTGGTCACACAGACAATCCCTGGTTGTGTAGGCTGGGAGGAGGAGAAAGAGGCATCTGGTTATGCCAAGTGTTGCGCTTGAAATCAGATGCAAAGTTATAAGCCAACTGATCTGGTCTTCGTCTGAGAGGCATATACCAGGATGTGGATGGTTCCATTTGCAGACGAAGAGCTTTACTTTGGAGGGAGGTTATTTTGGCTGGGAAAGCTGGTTCTTTCATTTTCAAGTGAATGATGAGTTGGCTTTGGACAGTGGGAAGGAGAGACTGATGTGTGCATGGCCGCCTTGTCTTCCTTTTAAAGTTTCTGTAGCAGCATCTGAGTGCATGTGCACATATGTCGGTGTGAAGAGAGGTAGATCCTTGACAGGGATGATATGAAAACTCAAGACATCATCACTCTACGTAGAGCCTAGAGGAAGCTTTCTCCCTGGTGTTGTTATTGTGTACTGTTGATACGTATCTGACTCACCTGATCCTCCAGGTTTTCAGAGGCAGTAAATCACACGGGAGCAGATTGTCCGCAGAGTATCTGGTGTATTCGAGCCGTGCACCTTTGGGTTGGCAGCGCAGTTCCTTAGTACCAGGCCACCAGTTGTCACCAGTGTCCACCCTGGACGCGGAGAGCCGTCCCCTGGCCTGAGAGGACAGGAGCACTTTTGTGTGCTTTTTCCACACAGCTCAGTTGGGTGAGGCCCTGCCAGGGTTTAGACCAGGCAAATAACTTCCCTGACCCTCCCTGGATGTGAATCCTGCCAAAGGTGGATTCACTCCAGGAGAGTGAGTTGCAGGCATACCGGGAAAGAAAACCCAGCTGAAAGGAGCACATCCTTGCAGTCCAGGTGGCCGCAGAGGGCTTGAGAGCTGGTTCCTCAGAGAATTCCGTCCTGGGAAGTTCCTGGAGTAGAGTTTCTTTGCCTCTTGACCTGTTTGCCTGGTACCATTGGCAGGATGATTGGCTTTAATGGGTCCCGTGTTCTTATCCAAAGATGTTGAGGTCTACCAATCTGATGTCTCCTTGGCCCTTGATTAATCAGCGGTAGGTGGGGTGCAAACGGCAGCTACATATATCTGGCTAAACAGATGATGTCTTCTGCTCGGGGGCTTGGCTTCTGTTGCTGCCTGACACTTAGCTCTTTTGTGTTTAAAGTCTGGGCTTCAATTGTTAGCTGGGGGACCCCTCCTACAACCTCTACCATGAGGTCTGCTATAGATATTATGGTCTGTAGCTGGAGAGAAGACAAGAGGAGCCAGCCATGTGTTTGAGGAAAATACAGCAAGTTACTTGTGAGCATTCTTGTATTATTCTGGTATTGTTCCCCCCAGAACCCCAAACTACTGCTGCTGGGTGGATCTCAACCCTGTAGGAGAGAACAGAACTGCCCCATAGGGTCTCCAAGGCTGTCTTTATCTCATTCTTCTTCCTTGAGCAACTGGTGGGTATCCACTGCACCACCAAGGCTCCTCGCCCCAGAAGGCGTTAATTTCATAATTCCTATTCCTTCCCTTTTGATTGCAGTAGACCCTCCCTGGCACACCTTGGGTTTCAGAGGTCTTGCAAGGGATTTAAAAATAACACAATTCTCTTGTAAACCTGCCTTATTCCTAATGTTAGATAGAAGCTTCTGATGTCTGGCACTGATTTCCTGGTGCAGGTTGGTTTTGAAGGGTCTCCAAAGTGCCAACCCTAGTGTCAAGACCCTCATTTCCCATTTTGCTCACCTGCTCCTTGCTACCTCTTTGCTGTCCTCTTTGGATGTGAACACGGGACCCTTTAAAGCCAGTCATCTTGCTGATGGACCCAGGCAGACAGCTCAGATCTTGGGACAAGACATTTCACTTCGCCAGGCTGAGCCGTGACCAGCACATGTCTGGTCTTTGAAGTGGCCGAGTCTGGAAAGGAAGGAGTGCTCTGGTACCTCGATTTCTCTCCAAGCATCATCAGCTGCTGCTCTCGGGCCAGCACCCGCCTGCCAGGGGCTGCCACTTCGGCTCAGCAATAAGGGAGAGAACTCCATGAGTATAAACGGGGACGATGGTTGCAGTGGTCCAAGGAATGCGTGGGGCACAGGGCCAAGCCACGGGGAGACATTAAAGAGCGTGCCCAGTGGGCATGGGCCAAGTTCTCCTGACACACAGTCCTCGGTTGAAGTCTAGGCTCTGCTCCTTTGTATCTGTGTGTGACGGCAGTTGCTCCATCTCTCTGGGCTTCCTATTTCTTCATCTGTGAAGTGGTTATCGTAATGATTCCCTAGTTACCGGGTGGATGTGGGGAGAACATCTGTGTTGTGATGGGCCCCCACGGTCAGCACCTAACCCTCCAAAAAGAAAAAAAAGAAAAACCAAAACAAACAACCCACTTCTGTTGAGTTGATTCCATCTTGTGGCAGATCTTTATGGGAGGAAACTGCAGATCTTCCCCTGTGGAGCAGCTGGTGGCCTTGAACTACTCATCTTTTGATTAGCAGCCTGACATGTTATGCACTGTGCCATCAGGGCTTCTGGTGGTTCTCTGAAGGTTATGCCAATTTAGGTGTTATTAAAAACAAGTCTTCTACAGACATCTGTTAACATTGAGCTCTCCAGACTCAGAGCCTATATAGCAAGGGGTCCCACCGTGTTAGCCTGCCGATTATTCATCTTCAAAGGGAATGGAAAGGAGCTCTGGTGGCCTAGTGGCAAGAAGCTGCACTGTAGTCTGCAATGCTCGTGGTTCAAATCCACCAGATGTTCTGCTGGAGAAGGAGGAACAGTCTTCTCCTGTGTCAGTTGGAACCAACTTGACTGTACACACACATACATACACAAGATTAAAATAAAATTACATTTTTTTAAAAAAAAAAGAATGGGCGTATTATTACATTTATGTCAGCAGGTCTGGAGTGGACTAAAGCCACTTCCTCAGGACACTGGTGCACCAGCTAGGCCTCCTGAGAAAAGACTTCTGGTCTCCCTGGGAAGATAGGATCCTGGACCACAGCGGGCTTTGATGGTCCTGTTCCTTCTTGGAAAACCTGTATTAGAATCCTTTACCTGCTTGGCTGATTCCATATCCTCAGGTTCTTGTGAAAGTTGAGCCCATGATGTTCTCTCCCAGCCCTCACATGGATCAAGCTGACTATAGCAACTCCAGCAGCGTGTACTGGCCCTCTCCTAAGAGACTAGCTCAGCACCAAGAGGCAATTCCGATTCATAGCAACCCTTTTGGACAGAGCAGAACTGCTCCCTCAGTCCTCCTCAGAAGCAAAGACTGTGAGACTCTGTGGCCAGGAGGAGCCACTCCATTGAAAGGCACAGCATGCTGGGAAAGGTGGAGGGAAAGCATTTCCACGAGGTGAATCGACACAGGGACTCAACAGTGGACTTGAGCACAGTGGAGATTGTGAGAATGGCGGGGGTGAGGATTCCGTCGGTTGTACTTGGGGCTGCTGAGACAGTTGACTTGATGGCACCTAACAGTGGAACTGCCTCATGGGATTTCCAAGACTAAATCTCTACAGAATCAGGCTCCTTCGTTTCTCCTCAAGTAGAAAGAGGAAGAGAAGGCAGCCTGCTGTCTAACCCACTGCATCACCAAGGCTGCTTTTCTCTAAAAGCCCAGCAGAAATCATCCCTGTTTCTTCTTCTTTGAGAGAACTTGATCGATGCTCCAGATTCAGCCCAAAGAAAACAGTGAAGAAGAAATGGCCGCCACCATTGAAGGGTCTAAGCAGTACTACATCCTGTTAATCATGGAAGTGAGAAGCGAAATAATAGAAAACTTCCAAAGAGTTAGAAGAAGGGGAACTCCGGGAGTGTTCCGTTCCTTTGAGATGTCATTTTGTCTGCACGCCTTCAGGACCGAATCTGGTTTGTCAAGCAATTGCTTTGCATAGGCATCTTGCAGGTGGACATCGGTGGCTACCTGGAGCCCACGTACTTGTCTGTCCACCCACACCTTTGCTGTGGTCCCTGCAGCTGGCCTGGGGCCATGGGACATTCACTCAAGCACAGTTCCTGAGACACCAAGCCAGCTTCAAGGCATTAGACCTCTGGTCCTGCCTGGCAGAAGCAGGGTCTCCGGCCATCCCTCTACCTTGCATGTCAGCCTTGCCAAGTGGGCTCCACAGAGAAGCCTGTTCCTGGACCCTGCCCACCCCGTCCTGCATCCAGAGCCCACGGCTTGTGCAGTAGCATCTGGTTTTGAGCCAAGGAGGGGGCCCCTTGTAGATGCAGCCTCCCCAGGCATGCTAGCCAGCGTGGGGGAAGCAGTGTCCGTCCGTGCTGGCCTCGGGATCTCATCTCCTTTTGTCTTGTTTAGGTTTCTCCTCTGCCTCCTACTTAAAGGTCCATGTTAAAACCCACCACGGTGTTCCCCTTCCCCAGGTCTCCAGGCACCCGGAGCCCATCCCGAATGGGGGAGCAGCGTTCCACTGCATCAAGACCTATGGCAACCAAGGCAAGCGACCCCTTGCTCTGCACTTTGCTTCTCTGCGCAGACTGTGTCGTGGGGGCGCTGGGCTGGGTGTGGGGAGGCAGCCTCCAGGAGGCCCAGGGATCTGCGGTGGCAGCGGCTCCCCCAGGACGGAAGTCACCATGGGGTGTCTCACTCCAAGCTAGGGAGTGAAGCCCACAGGGGCCCCGCTGATATTCAGCCATGCCTCCTCCTCCCCAGCTCTTGGTGGTCCCTGCCAGCGGTAGGGGGGTGGGCCACGGCAGGAAGAGGGTCCCTGCATGACAAGAGTTGGTCTGTGCCTGTCGGTTGACTGTTGCCCTTGGAGGACAGTGTGGCTTGAAAGCTTTCTCCTCTGACCTCATGGGGAGCCGGGCAGCCGGCAGGCCGGCTTCTCCGGTGAGAAGGGCAGTTGGTTGCTGCGTGCAGCTCTTTGTGGTGGGCATCTGGCTGCGTCTGTGCATGGGGGACTCTGGTTTGCAGGGACAGCTCCCCAGGCCCCACCTTCACGTGTTGACTCGGGTAGTTCGGTGGCGTTGCAAGCTGTTGTTGCCTCTGGAATGAGGCCAGGGCCTCGGCAGATGGTAGAGATGGCATGCTCCATGGCTCCCATCACAGACCTCCCGTCCGGGCATGGCACAGCGGCGCTGGAGCTGCTGACCGATGCCCGCGTGGGCCGAATCAGGGCCCGCACACCTAGCTGATGGAATTGTTCAGAGTTGCGTTGGGCCTTTTGCGGTTTGGACTCAGGCCTGGAAGGGTTTTGGATAAGGGCAGGGCATGTGTTTGGAGCAGGACGAGAAGGGTTGGACTCTGAGCAAGGTCGGCCTGGTGGACATCTTCCTGAAAGCTGATGTGGCCTCGCTAGACGTGCAGTGAGTCTGGGCTCAGGCCTCAGCCCCCTCAGTGTCATCAGTGGTGTGTGTGTCACCCCCCCCACCCCAGCCCCGCCTCAGAGGCCCCTAGGAGATCACTGTGGACTTGGAGGGCTTGAGTTCTGGGCAACAGCAGTGGTGGCCCCCTTTTCGCCCCCCCCTTCCTTGACGCAGGCTGACGGTGAGCGATGCGTGTGCACAGCTGCATGAAGAGTTGCTGCGTGGGAGGCTGGTGGCCCCCCGGGAAACACACTCCCCCAACTCCTGTCCCCTAGGTGCTCCAGGCTCCCAGAGTGACCAGCTGAGCCTCCTCCATGGGTTCTGCCAAGGCGGTGGCTGCCCTCCCCGAGGGGCATTTCCAGAACCTGGCCTCATTTCCTCTCCCCCTCCCCCATGTTTTGTTTTTCTTCTAGAAGGCCAGAAATGCTCACATCAGGATCCGATTGAGAGCTCCGACTCCTATGGTGACCTCTCAGACGCCAGCGACCTGAAGACGCCTGAGAAGCAGAGCGCCAATGGCTCTTTCTCCTGTGACATGGCGGTCCCCAAAAACAAAATCGAGTCGGACGGGGAGAAGAAGTACCCGTGCCCTGAATGTGGGAGCTTCTTCCGCTCCAAATCCTATTTGAACAAACATATCCAGAAGGTGCACGTCCGGGCCCTTGGGGGCCCGCTGGGAGACCTGGGCCCGTCCCTGGGTTCGCCTTTCTCTCCCCAGCAGAACATGTCTCTCTTGGAGTCCTTTGGATTTCAGATAGTTCAGTCGGCATTTGCATCATCTCTAGTTGATCCTGAGGTTGACCAGCAGCCCATGGGGCCTGAGGGCAAATGAAGAGACACGTGCCCTCCCACCACCAGAGACTGCCCTCTGGGGACTGCTGAGAAGTGCTGTGAATGCGGAGGGCAGGGATGTCTTTGGGTTCTGTAGCTGAGAGATTTTTATTCGTTTTTTAACACTCCCTAACCCTGTCATCCTGCTGCCCTTTCTACTAGCCAGGTCCCCCCAAAAATGGTCTTTAGAATATAGATTCTCATCTGATGCCCTGTGGAAATTATCTGCGAGCCCAGTGTGTGATGAGGGCAGAAAACACTACATAGATCTCTGCAGTCAACATCAATACCGGTTTCTGTGATCAGTGGAAGCTGGAATTGGTGGTGTCTCCCAAAACTGAACCCAACCCCATGGCATTCTGGGACCTCAGTGATTTCGGTCCGTTTCCCCCTACCCCGCCACCCCCGCTACTTCTCTAAGGTCTTAACTCCTTTTTTTCCCTGCCCACATCCCTCAAAAGAAACCATGGTAGGATTTCCACCCACTTACACAACGCTCACGCCCAACTGTTTTCAAAGAAAGCCGGAAACCTACAGCAGCTTGTGGACCATGGGGTGAAGGCATGTGTCCCCTGAGCTCTCAGCCCTTGGCCTGGAGGTTCCTACACTTTCCAGAGCCAATATTTTACCGCTAGGACTGAGCTCAACTGTTGGGGTCACCTCACCCTAAATTCCAGTTCTTACATGAATCTAATCATTCATCTTGCTGTTGGGTTTTAGTTCTCTAATTATTATTATTATTGTTATTCTTTTTTTAGGACCAGTTGTAGTGAATTGCTACTGAAAGCTATCCCAGGCGATACAGAGCTCTTTGTAAACCGCAGTCACACGTTAGGGTTAGTGTTAAACCTTGTTTAGATGTACCATAATTAACTTGGGCTAGTCAATCGTTTTAAGTCTATGGAAGAAATAGTTTTATGCAAAATTTAAAAAAAGGAAAAAAAAAAGCAAGCCAGTCTCATCAGGGAGGTATGAGTTGGGATGTGGCTGGGAACCTGGAAGGTGGGCGAGCCAGCAGGTGGGGACATTGTATACCTCGATGTGTCACCTTTGAGCAAGCCCAGGTTGACTCTATGATGTGAATTGATCTGATTAGACTATTAAAAACATTAGTACATTACTCTACCTGCTGCTGGTGTCTGGTTTTTAAGCTGACATGGAAGGGGGAATCCTTAGGACCCAGAGGAGGGTAGGTATTCCATACCCTTGTGCCTCAGGTGTGGCTGGGTCCCTGGAGACCCCTCTTCCAAGCAGAGGACAAACCTTCTTGCACAAGTGGATTCCCTTTCATCATCAGCTCCACCAGGACTGACAGTTGGAGGTTCCTTCTGAAGATCTAGTTGCTAGCCCTCTTTTCTCACTTCAGCAAATGCTGATTTTTTTGTGTGTGTTTACTGCTGAGTGCCAGGCATGGTTCCAGACCCTGGAGATACAGCAGTAAAAAAGATTTCCAACTAGAGCCTAATAGAAGAGACAGTAAGGTAAAAATGGATTTAAATAATGCGTACTGCATCAGGTTGCTGACCAAGAAGTCAGCAGTTCAAATCCCCCGCCACTCCATGGGAGAAAGATGGGCAATTTTCCATAAAGATTTATAGTCTCAGAAACGAGGTGGAAGGTTAACTGTGAGTCAGGCTCCTGGGTTGGGGTTTGGTGTTTGTGTTTTTGTTTTTGTTTTTTTCTCTGTGTGTGTGTGTGTATCTGTGTTTAAGGTGGGGAGGGTTTAGGTGTCAGATAACAAGTATAAGGTGAAAATTGCAGCAGAAAATATTGAGGCCGTGGTCTTCACAGTTTAACTTGCTATGCATCAGAGAGCTGGACAATGACTAAGGATGACAGAAGAATTGATGCCTTTGACTTGTGATGCTGGAGAAGTGTCTTAAACATACCATGGACTGCCAAGAAAACAAATACATCTGTCTTGGAGAGTGTGAAATCAAGTTTCTCCTTGGAGGCTAAGATTTTGAAGTTCCATCTCACATACTTTGGGCATGTTGCCAGGAGGGACCAGTCCTTGGAGAAGGGCATCATGCTTGGAAGGGTAGAGGAACAGCACAGGAGAGGAAGACCCCAGATGAGATGGATTGACACAGTAATTGGGGCAATGGGAGTAGGTGTGTCAGGACTGGGTCAGATTGGCCCAGGATAGGGCAGGCTTCAGGGCTGTTGTGCATAGGGTTGCTGTGAGTTGTCTGCAGGCAACAGCACATAACAACAGTGGCAGCAGGAGGACCAGTAGGTGGCCCAGGAAGTCTGGAGGTAAATAGGGCTTAGAACTCTGAGAGAGGACTTACAAATAGGGGAATCATACCAGGCCAGTTGGGCTATGAATTTTTTTTTATCTTTTTTTTTTTTATTTAGTTTGTTTATTTTT